TTCATCATCTTTGTTTATTCAAGGACGGCCTCCACTGTATACGAAGTGACAATGAGCAAACAAGTCGTTACATTACCCTATTACTGAGATATAACCAGGAACAAGACATTACCCTATTACTGAGATATAACCAGGAACAAGACATTACCCTATTACTGAGATATAACCAGGAACAAGACATTACCCTATTACTGAGATATAACCAGGAACAAGACATTACCCTATTACTGAGATATAACCAGTAACAAGACATTACCCTATTACTGAGATATAACCAGGAACAAGACATTACCCTATTACTGAGATATAACCAGGAACGACATTACCCTATTACTGAGATATATATTACTGAGATATAACAGGAACGACATTACCCTATTACTGGGATATAACCAGGAACGACATTACCCTATTACTGAGATATAACCAGGAACGACATTACCCTATTACTGGGATATAACCAGGAACGACATTACCCTATTACTGAGATATAACCAGGAAAAGACATTTCCCTATTACTGAGATATAACCAGGAACGACACATTACCCTATTAATGAGATATAACCAGGAACAAGACATTACCCTATTACTGAGATATAACCAGGAACGACATTACCCTATTACTGAGATATAACCAGGAACGACATTACCCTATTACTGGGATATAACCAGGAACGACATTACCCTATTACTGAGATATAACCAGGAACGACATTACCCTATTACTGGGATATAACCAGGAACGACATTACCCTATTACTGAGATATAACCAGGAACGACATTACCCTATTACTGGGATATAACCAGGAACGACATTACCCTATTACTGAGATATAACCAGTAACGACATTACCCTATTACTGGGATATAACCAGGAACGACACATTACCAGGAAAAGACATTTCCCTATTACTGAGATATAACCAGGAACGACACATTACCCTATTAATGAGATATAACCAGGAACAAGACATTACCCTATTACTGAGATATAACCAGGAACGACATTACCCTATTACTGAGATATAACCAGGAACGACACATTACCCTATTACTGGGATATAACCAGGAACAAGACATTACCCTATTACTGGGAAGTAATCAGGAAAAATAACTTCCGTTTAGGCCCTCGTATCATCTGATGGTGGGCAATTCAAATCGTCCTACATTCGTGGTCCGTACGTTCGATCGTTCGTAAACAATTCTTGTTATCATTATTTCTGGATTGATTTTTCACATAAAGATAATGGCTGACAAGCGGCCATCTTGGATTTTGACCAATGAATTTATTTCGTTTTTTTTCAAATTCCGTAGATAGGCCGACACCCGACTATCTTGGATTTAGCAGAGAAAATTTCAAATTTCATACGAGTAAGAGTATATACAGAAGAAGAAAGAGAAAAGGACCAAATTTATAAGAACAAATAAAGATCAAACGATGGTGGGTGGTAAGATGTCGCTCCGGGAGCTCGTGTATAAAGCTTCAATTCAATATTTAATAGTGAAAGTTTTCAGTTAAATGTATTAAGTAAATGTCTGAAAATCCTTTGTTCTGGATCATTGCTTTTTTCTGCATGTGCGATTGTCCAGTGTTGTTTACACTAAAATTTACCAGGAACAAAGGCCTGTTATGAACGTGGCGCATGATCGATTGCTCAATGTGTAGAAAATCGGCGGGAGAGAAGAAGGGAGAGTCCATGCATATATGTTTTGCCAACTCATCCATCTAATGCTTAAGGTCAAGACCTTTTCCTGGCCCGTGCGATGGGAATAGTAGAAAATTTCCCTTGTTTTATTAATAAGATATATTGATACTGAAAGGCGGTGTGGTTGGACGAGGTTACACAACATTTAGGGTTGTACATTTAATGCTCTATAGATGGAAGGCTTCAGAACCATGTCTCCATTCCTGACTTCAGAAAATGTTTTACTCAATTGAGTACGTGTTAGTTTGGAACGTTGTATGTTTTCTACCGAAATGTAGAGGATTGTTAAACGTATTGAGCATCTATCGATATGTCTCCATGAATATTTATATAAAGATCATTAGGAAGTGGTCACGTGGTTCAGCTTGGGAAGATGATTCGAGCTACAAGGCTTACAGCATTGAAATGCTATATATTTTAGTGAGAAGAGTACAAACATGTTTTAAGGCAGGAAGTGTTGCAACCATCAACTCAACAGAAGGATGGTTCCCGTGACCAATGGATTCACGGATGTTTCAGGGTAGGAAGTCTCGGACAATTGATCTGGACTCAAACAAGTGACACTTGAAGAGTATACCAGATAGACGTTTATAGAAAGAAAGACTTTAGAGAGGTGACCTAGCCTGAACTTGTTTCACATATTTATATTGATCGTAATTCTTGTCAGGAAATCTTTGTGTGATGACCTCGGCTAGAATAGATATTCTTATGATCACTGAATTTTAAACTCATTTGTGGAAATTCAGTTTTCGTGAACTCCGTTGAATTAGTGTGAACTTGATTGGTGCAACTTTAAACACTAAATTACATGTAGAAAATAAAAATCATGAAACGGAGACTTCAAATTGTCTATTACACATGTAAAACCTGGAACGTCTTCAGATAATCGTGGTTTTTGCGAGGATGCAAACCTAAACATCATTAAAGCTAGATCGTTAAATTTGCAGCCAAAATGTGTGAAGTCATTGAAATATCGGCAAGAAATGGGCAAATGTCCTAGAATTAATTGATTCGTTAATGGAAAATAGACAATGGAATCATAACATATGTATCTGGAGATATATTTCATATACTGAGCGTTGGCGGTCTCTAACCTTGTCTGCTGATGATTAATGAGAAAGCGACACCCACACTAGCAGTTTATATGGCACCACTTTTCCATTAATTCGGGTATAACATTCGTCCTTCTGGTCTTCAATTGGATTTACGTAAAAACATCCCTTGAGAGATTCAAATAAATTTGACGGGAAATTCATGAACGAATTCTGTTGACAAGGTCGAACAAATGTTGACAATGCTGCTATAAGCCTGCTATGTAATGACAATTTGTGGTTTGGCGTGGGTCGCCATTAGGAAATACGATGTGTCATACTGCTCTCTGTATTGTAAGCCTAATTAAGTTTTGAGATCAAAACCCTGGAATTGTTGTGTGTACATATGTATTAATGTATGAAGTGCTGGCACGCCGTGTTTGACACTTACTAATACTATAGCAACACAAATTGTAAATGTTATACAGCTCTCACGAGACTGACAAACACCACGAACAACCATGAACCTTCCCGTGAGGCAAAGCGGCGTGTCAAAGTCCAGCAAACGCTTGTGGTATAACAGAAATTAGAATTTTCACTACTATAAGTGAGGAGCGTCTATTTGACGCTTGTTGCCCATCTATAAGAAACTAAAGTATCTACATTTGGGCCAGTCCATCTACAGTGACGAAGGACATTGGGATAGAAAGGAAAGGACAATCGTTTCCTGGTTACAGTACATTTAATTGAATTTGAATTCTAACGTGACCATAGTGAGCAATCAATTACATTTATTTATTACGTGGAAAATAACATGCAGTATCAAGCGTTTCTTGGAACGCGAATGCGGCTTAAATTTTATTCTGGTGTGATCTCCATAATTGACCAGACAGAAATCAATTAGATGGAAAACATTTTGTGATAACACTTGGTTCTTTAAACTTGTTTCGATACAGAAGGGAAAATTCCATCGATAGAATTGTACAAGTGCGGAAATTAAGTGGATATAAGTGATTCTGATTGCTGTTATCTGATGGTGTTGGCCTCATCACCAAGGGATTCCACCTGCAATGGTAGATACGGACTTCTGTTGCTATGAGGACATTAGGTATTTGGTCTGGCCGTTTGTTAGTGATGACTTAGTGTTCTAATGTCAGAATTTATACATAGAAGACACATCAGAATTTCTTTATAGAACAACATTGATTGGGTATATTGATTGCCGAAAGACATTTTTCGTTTAAAGAACTGGTGAGAACAATAAGATATTTGTATATTGATACCTCTTCATACTGGCCAGTCGTCGATCTTTGGTAAGTTTGAATGTCTTACTGCTGGAGAAAACAGAGGAGTGAAGGGATTACGTGGGATATTGTACAGCAACACTCGGGAGGAAATGGCGACTACTGACGTCATCAATTATTTAGTGTGCATCATATTCACAGGATGGATGGGTTCTGTCGTTGGTGTTACTTACGGTAATGATGATATTTGAGAAGTTATCTGTACACGGTGATAGACACATGCATCCGTTAACCAAACATTACTTCATTAATGCATAGTATACACCCCGCTGCGAATAATTTAGAAATCAAAACCTGCAGCACGTCTCCGGAGTTCCTGAATTGTCAATTGTGAATCAATCTAAAATGTTTTTTGAAATTCCTGTTTAAAATGACAACATTCTGTTAGAAACGGAATGAGATATTTTCGTGCTACACTGCCACTTTCGTTCATACTTGGTGATAAAACTGTTTACGGAAAGCTGTTTGAACGTTGTAGAGGGCATACCGATATGTCAGGATGGCTTCACAGATGTAATTATATGACGTGTGTACATAATACATCATATCGTTTCCAGAGCGCTTTACAAACGTAACTGTGAACAAACTGAAGAGAATTTCGTGGGTCAAAATTGCAATGTTTATTGCATCACTGCAGCATTTCATGTTAATCACAACTTAATAGAATACCGGTATTTGATTTGTAAAATGTGTAGTATCACGCTTTGAGATCAATGGAGTTGAAAATCGGTATGATATTGTGATCAATTCTTTAAATTGGAGGAAAAAAGCAGTGAAATATTCTTGACGTAGAAACAAGACTTTGTCGGCTGTATGTATGATTTCCTACCAAGTTATTAGTTAAGTAGTTTACACGATATTGTCCGATCAGTCAACAGAAGGGACCCACATAACTACCTACTGTCAGACTCCATGAGTTTGACAGATAATTAAAAAAATATATAGATAGTTTCCATGATGTTATCGAGGAGTCAACTGAAAGATATTAAGCACAAGGCTTTGGAGGTGGAGAAAGAGATTCTGGATGACGAAGTGAGTAAGTTTCTGTCAGACCGACATCCCGTGAAGGAGAAACCACGGAGAATCCCGTTACTTCTGTCACACTGGGACTCAATCGACATGACATGTAAACTGGGTAAGTCTTACAAGTGATGAGGGTTTCGGCAGTTCGCTGTGCAATAATTCTACGTTGATAATGGTCATTTCTCTGGACGTTTGTAACCTACGTTGTATGTCCGTTCATGTTTTAATTCATTCGAATAGTGGCGCGTTCAGAATATACACATGTACTGAACATTATTCTAAAAATTATCAGATATATTGCAACAGCATTAAGAAAAATTATGGCGCTACTACACCTTCCCATCTGAAATTTGTCATTTTTTTCGGTCACTCGGGATTTTTCTTAGTCGCCCCCGGATTCAAAGTTTAGGCCCTTTGCATCACTGATGAGTCCTGGAAGGACAAAACAGCTGTATGGTGCCGTTTAATTCATTGTTTGGTTCTACTGTATGCAAATTTAAACTTGAAAGGTGTTCTTTTGTACATTTTGGTCACTTCATGATGTTTCAAATGAAGATGCTACGCACATCTTCCTAAAATGGCATCACAACAACAATGGTTCACCTGTAACGTTCAATGTCGGACGTTTTGGTAGCAGAATTGATAACGTTGATTCCGATTCCGGACGCTTTATTCTGTACCATTTTCAAATGAGGTTTTGTTGAATCAAACATTGATTTGTGTGAGTAAATGTAAAATGTGTGTTATATGTGTACTCCTTTGGTGGTTTTCATCAGGCAAGACATACACCAATATATAATGAATGCCAACATTATATCTTGGATATTTGTGTTTTACATACTTATTTGCAGTTGTGTCCTTTTAAGCTCAAAAAGAACGCATACCTGGACGTTTTAAAGACGTTTGATAGCGTCAACAATTTTCAACGTTTTCTAGTGGCTAACATTCATTTGAGTATAACTTTGGAAGTCTTGAGGAGATTACAACAAAAATATTTTTCAAATGCGTGAAATCCGACATGATGGACCTTTTTCCTGGTATAAGGGATCCGAAAACAAATATTTCAGCTTGATCCTATTTGGACGAATTTTGTGAAATATGCAGTGATCCTGTCTTTTAAAATTTCATAAAGTGTAAACAATTCTATTCTAGAAGATCGTCAAATAAAGGATGGATTTTTTTTCTGCAAAATTTTCATTATCTGTTCGCAAGGCAGTTATAAGCTCGTTAAATCATATGAAAAGTTAGTACTTCCGTAAGTTTTTTTATCCTAGTAATATTCCTTTACCTTTTAAAGAAAAAGATCTATTTTAAAAAGGTTGCTGCGAAAATAACAGACTGCTTGTTATTCAGGAAAAATAAAGTGTAACGTGAAAATGAATGTTCTTATACATATTCCGAGACCTGTATCGGAAAAAGAAGTGCAGCAACATATTGATTTTTCTCTAAAATTACTTTCTGAAATCTGATTTTTTTTCCGAAAAATCATCAGAGCAAAAGTTTAATTCTGGATTTTGTTTACCTCTCAGAGGTGTACATCCTGATTTAACTAATATATTTCATTATCCTAATTTTGTTTTGTATTTTTGTATTGAGGATGGTTTATCGTCATAGAGCCTATGCGCATGTGTATTAAAACTATTTTCCTCTCGGCTCGTCGTAACGTAACACGATCATTGTAAAGGGAAGTTATCCAGAGTGATGTATCAACATATATGATTTCTAAATGGTATGTCATGTTGCCCTTTATGTGTAGGCAGTTGTCTTATAAGCTTAAAGGTATAAACTCCAAGAATAATATCTATAAAAGAAAGGTTAGTTTTTATCGAGTAGGAGCCAATGGCATTTCGGTGTACTTGGAGACATAAACAGATGAAATTTCAATCTGTCACAAAACGTAAGACAAGTAAGGATTTATCAGAAATGTCAGCTTGTTCTGAGTGTGTCTGAATATCTTAAAACGTTTGAAAATCATCATTGGATCTGAAAAAATAATTTTATGTTCTTTGGTAGATAACTGATGGTTTGTTGAATCGGAAAATCTGTTAGTGCTGGCTAGAATGTTTCAGTCAGTAGTATTTTTTTGAGCGATGGAGTCACTGAATATGTCGATCTTGTTTGAAATGTGTCATTAAAATGATTTTACGTCGTATATGATATTGTAAATACGAAAAACAAATATAATTTTTAACATTGCATTTTGACATTGTATACACACGATTTTTTCCTGACCAACAGAGATAGCTGTCCCCTAAGCTGTACAATGATTTCAATTTCCAGTTGTGAATATTCATTTTCTTGATAGCAGTAATCCAGCTCCCTGCTTCCCAACCTACAGTGTTTTTGTTTACATGTCACTGCTGATTCGATTTTTAAGGATGATATTTTGTTATAGTATGGTCTTATTTCCTAAGTCTACATTATATTGTTTCACGTGTTAGAAGGGTCTTTTTTACTCCATTGCTATCACGTAATGGAGAAACGCTGTCTAATCATTTACATACGTTACTATGCACAGTAGTGAACAGAAGGGCTAGATTGAAGTGTACATTTATAGAAAACCTCGTACGTTATAACCAAGTAAGACGAAAAGTCGCCATACAAGTGCCACATAGAATGTCCATGTTCTCTATACTCTTCAGATTTAAGGACACGTGCACTTAATTACATGGCATAGAGAAATTCTCAAAAGTAAATCGCCATTAGGATATACATATGAACACGTGTTTATGGCACATCTACCAAGGTCCTATCAACAGCTTTAGCAGGCGGTAAGACTGTGTAGCATGGGGTGGAGATGGCCGTATGACGGGGTCGTCACTCCAGAACAATACATTTTGTCACCTAACACACTGATAGCAAAGGATTTTACGAGATGCAGGTTGATGAAAATTATTGGGATGTTTTGTGGTCGTTATAATGATCTCAGTGGGAAGATTCTATTTCCTACTGAAATATGGAGATGGACGTATTTGCTGCTCGTTGGTTTGCCTGTTGGTTTCGTTATTATATACCTTGTTCTCATTTTGGGACGTGGCATTACATTCCTTTATCGACCAAGCTTTCTATGACGGGTGTCGTCTATGAAGCAAAATACGCTTACTTTTCCTCAACACCTGGTCATATTCTCCTTATACTTTTTTCAGTTATCTCCGTGTAAATCACTTTTTTACATTCTGCCCTATTTAAATTGATTTTTAAAGTTTGCAATATGATTTCATTGACATATTTATATTTCTTTGTTGTTTTTTGACATTACACAGTAGCATGCACTCAATATTTTATCCTCACAGCGGACATTCAACAAATACTTAAGAAGACGTCAATATATAAGACAGAAGATATATTGATGTGGTGTTAGTATTGAGTTGATTGGCTGTTTTAATTTCCTCCAAGGAGAGAAAAAAACGTTAGTGATTTGGAGTATATATATCACTGTCGGTACCTGTAAGTCTTTGTTTTCTGTGATTCGTCGATACAAGTTAGATAGTTATGATTCAGTGTGACATCCTACTGTACGGTAAGTTTGACACTTTAATGCAGTATTGTATCATATACTACTACTCATGTCGGTATCTGCCATTCAATCGCTGCGTTAAATCTGATAGTACCCGGCACCTGCTGTAGATAATGGACACTTTACGTAATGAAATTTCCCTTTGGTTTAATTTACATACAAATGTGTCATTTAGATACTCCAAGCAGATCGATAAGCTACTCAGTGATAGTAATAAACAAATTTCATTGATTAGTAAATTGTACACTGTAGTAACCGTTAACTCTCTCAACTTTCCCCCTGGGAACATATATCGTCCTCGTCTTGTCTCAACTTTCGAGGTTTTAGAGTTAAACAATTCCATGTGGTCTTCTCGATCAGATTTGAATCGTGCAGACCCTATAAAAATCGTGATTTTAGCAGAACCTAAAAGAATAACGTGATAAAATCATCCAAAAAACAACTACAACAAAAACAACATGTCAGCAGAATAGTAAAATCAAAATTAATAAATTTTGGGCAAAAGAACAAAGACAGATTTACACGTAGATACCTGAAAAAGTACAAGGAGAATAAGACCTGGTGTTCCAGAATAGTAAGCGTCTTTTGCTTCATCGACGATATTAGCCATGTAAACATTGGTCAATCCAAGTAAGTAATGTCACGTTCTCAAATGGGGAACAATTTAAACAACAACAGAACCAAACTAATAGAATATCTCTCATTTAGATAACCATTCACTGACATTCACTGAAAATGCTTTGGAATAATGATCAAACGTTTATTAAAGTTGTAAATTATTAAATTTGAATAATTAGTATAGATTCTATTGACATGTCTGTATTTCTTTGGTTTTGAATACTTCTTTACAGATGGTTGCTATTTACCCATTTTTTTTTATCCTTGTCAAAAGACAGAACAGTTGCGGGTTTGAAAAGCATAGCTGTGGTAGCAATAAATTTGGATTCTACCATGTTTTTCTGTTACTGTAAAGGAACATGTTTTAGTGGTAACCTTATTTTAGCACTTTTATTTCTAAAGACACAGAACTGAAATATGATGGAGCTAATAGCAGTTTCTGTATCCGAAGGTACGAATTTAGCATTACGCTTACGTGTTTAAAATAGATATTGCGCTTAAATGTTAGTGCGCAAAAATTAGTACGTTACAGTGTTGGAATTGGAGAAACAAATGATCTGCTTGATCATGCGCGTAGTTACTGCTGTGGCAGAATCAGGATCGCAGTCATATATAGTGTGGTTAAGAGCAGAGGAATATATAAATATATAGACGCAGTATATGAAATTTCGTGAACGGCAGGAGCGTGAACCATGTCCTGTCGTAGCAGCTCGGTAGTATAGGCTGGCAGTGCCGTGACGCAAGAGCGTGAACCATGTCCTGTCGTAGCAGCTCGGTAGTATAGGCTGGCAGTTAACCATGTCCTGTCGTAGCAGCTCGGTAGTATAGGCTGGCAGTACCGTGACGCAAGAGCGTGAACCATGTCCTGTTGTAGCAGCTCGGTAGCATAGGCTGGCAGTGCCGTGACGCAAGAGCGTGAACCATGTCCTGTCGTAGCAGCTCGGTAGTATAGGCTGGCAGTGCCGTGACGCATCCCT